TGTCGTACTACTTTTACTGACAATATCTTGGAATTTACTGTAATGAATCTTTAGATATAGCTTATATTACTTAAAGCATAGCTTTGAAGCAGCTAAGAATTTTTACCCAAAATGTTTAATTAATAAATAAGATTTAACTTTTAAATAAATTATTATAGGTTTTGAAGACCTACGGTTTAAACTTTAACCTAAAATCCTTTAGCCTATATATAATAAATTTACTAGTATAACGCTAATATAAAATAAGATAGAATTAAAAGTGTCACTCTAATTTTTCTATCATATACCCCCTTTACCTTTTTGTAAAAAATTTTAGGTATTAAATTTAACATTAAATAGACGGATCAAACTATAATCATGCGATAATACTAATAGTACCCCACCCGAAAGTAATAAAAGTACTATTAATATTATCGCTTGATTATTAATAAGATTAATAACCCCCACCAACTTCATCAAAAAAATGTTGGATGGGGGAATCCTGACACAGAAAATAATAAAAATATTATTAGACTAACCCCCTATTACTTTATACATTAATAGGTAATTAGCTTTTGCATTAACTATTTAAAACTATCATTTTTAAATTTTTTACTCTAAAAATTTGGGAGATATACATTCCACTAAATAATAAAAAATAATAAATTCCTTTTCTCAATCATAGCAATACCCACACTGATATCCCAATAGAAGAATACACTATAATTAACAAAAAACTTCTTATAAAAATCGGTGCCAAAGATCAGAATAGGGCTCTTAACACGAGAAAAATCATAATTGGATTGTCTCAAGATCCAAAATAAGTGGCTGGCAGTTTTTTGTACCAAATAGTACAATTATAAACCAACAAAGGATTCCACCCCTCTCCCAAAATAATAAAACGTAAAAATAGAACTAAATTTAATGCTAATCCCTGTTAAAAATAAATAAAGGAGGAAGTTCTAAACATCCACAAAATACTTCCTAACCATATCATCCGTAATATAACTTTTAAAATTTATAAGGGATTTTACAATCATAGAACCCATAAGCTTTAATTTTAGCTTACCTTATTATTTTAAACGTAAAATAGAATTTATTTTAAATGTAAAATAGAATTTATTTTAAATGTAAAATAGAATTTATATTAAACATAAAATAGAATCTTATTTAAAAGTAAAATAGAATCTATTTTAAACGTAAAATAGAATTTATTTTAAACGTAAAATAGAATTTATTTTAAACGTAAAATAGAATTTATTTTAAACGTAAAATAGAATTTATTTTAAACGTAAAATAGAATTTATTTTAAACGTAAAATAGAATCTTATTTAAAAGTAAAATAGAATCTATTTTAAAAGTAAAATAGAATTTATTTAAAACGTAAAATAGAATTTATTTTAAACGTAAAATAGAATTTATTTAAAAGTAAAATAGAATCTATTTTAAAAGTAAAATAGAATTTATTTTAAACGTAAAATAGAATTATTTTAAACGTAAAATAGAATTTATTTTAAACGTAAAATAGAATTTATTTAAAAGTAAAATAGAATCTATTTTAAAAGTAAAATAGAATTTATTTTAAACGTAAAATAGAATTTATTTTAAACGTAAAATAGAATTTATTTTAAACGTAAAATAGAATTTATTTTAAACGTAAAATAGAATTTATTTTATCAATTTTAACTCTCGTTTATTTTACTAGTTAATTAAATTAAATAGTGATTTTAATTAAGAATTTGGATCTTAATTTGATAGAAATTCTTATACACTATTACTAATAAATATAATTTAGTTTCATCAAAATAAAATAAACTTAGCAACTCAAGCTGTAAACTTGAGTATAAGACTATATTATATTGTAGTTGTTTACTATACTCCGCTAAAAACAAGCAAGTACACTTATTATTTAAGTTATAGATTTTAAATAAGATTAAATATTATAATAATTAATAAGTTGAGTATGTAACTCAAAGATGCTGTACAAAGGTTTTTATCAAAATTTAAAGGAAGATAAAAGTAATATTATCTCAAACCCCCAAAGTTTGTATTTTTTAAACTAACTTTAATATAATAAATTTACTAAGACAGCTGTCTCTACTCTTAGGAGAACTAAGAGTACCCCTAACCCTAAAGGGTGGGAGACATATCCTAATGCAGCGTTTCAAAAAGCTAATAATGCATCTTAAATGCAATCGTTTAAATTGGACATTTTTTTTTGTTTTAAATTTAGACGTTTCACATTTAAAAAAAATATATTAACGGTTCATTTACGTTTACATTTTTTGATTTGCGTTCTGAAACCCTGCGTTGAAACGTTCAATTTGTGCGCAATATAAGGGTGAGGAGTGAGTTCAAAATTTAGGCCGAAATCGTGATATCTGACTGTTAAACGGCTTGATTTGAGACGATTTTTAAATATGGCTAACTCAATATTTAATCCAGAATAATATTACGCAAGCCTGAAGATTTTATTCATAAATGGTACAAAAGTCTACATATTTATTAGAGAAATTCGAGACTTTGGCATTTTATGGTCAAAATATTGAGCTAGCCATTTTAAAAATCGGTTCAAAACGAGCCGTTTAACAACACTACATCTGACAACCTTGGCCGAGCTAAATGTGTAGAAAATTTTTTGGACAAAGCTAAAATATTACAGGTCAGAAACCATTTTAAAAAATCTTCAAATGTTAGTTCAGGCTAAGTTGCGCTGATCTCTAATATTACGATTTGTAAATATAAGAGATCTGCTTTTTTTTTTAAAAATCAGGACCGGGCCTAAAAATTTTTTTTTAAATACTCGGGCCTGGCCAATTTTTTAAATCGCTACTACAATATGATTAAAAATGAATAAATATATTTAAAAATTGTATCAGAATAATATATCACATTCATTCACTTCTCATATTTACATTTCAAAACCATTATCGATCGTTAGAAAATACTTATCGTGTTAAATATAGGTAAAATATTTTACAAATTATTCAACTAATTATAATTATTTTTAGGTGAAATATAAATTTTATATTTACACCTAATTATTTCATTATCTTTTTTGGTATTACATGAAAATAATCTTCATTTATCCTCTTTTAAAAAAGAATATAGTTTTAAAAGTTAATGATTTCGTATTTGGTAAAAAAAACAACGAACCAAAAGCTGAATAGGTATATTTATTATAAAAGGTGGGCCCTTAAAAAACGGATAGGGCCTGAAAATTTAAAACCAGTGGCGGGCCGAAATTTATTTCAAAATTATCCAAGGCGGGCAGGGCCGATTTTTTTACGAATGCTCGGGCTGTGCAATTGGTACTTATGTGGGACTTTTTTTAAAAAATTAAAAAGAATATTTTAACAATTTAATATCTATTCGTGCGAGTATAAATATTTGTATGGCTTATATTATATTCCATTAATTGTAATATATATTAAGTTATATTTAAATAAATTAAAATTAGTTGACATTTTCAGTAGATACTTTTTAAATTCATATTAAGCTAATGTCACCCTAATCTGGTAGCTAGATACTTCAGCATATTGATCAATACAATAAAAATCACTCTTAATTCTTTTCTATAAGATTTTCTCGTCTTCTCTCTAGTGTCGTGACAGATTAGATTTGAAACAATTTTTTAAAAACGACTAATTCATTATTTTATAGATCGAGCTAAGGTTTGAACATCGATTAGCAAAATCTCGAGTCATAAGCAATCTTTTAAGTTCGCTGTTTTTAAAAATCGGCTCGAATGTCGTTTAACAATAAATATAGCTTTAAGTTTATTTCAAATATGAAAGTGTTTTTGTGATATTTTAATCAGATAATGTTAATTATTATAATTGATCACCTTCAGAAAAGAAAAGTGACAAATTGTAATATTGGATTGAGCCTTATAAAATAGAAAATATAATTTCGTTAGCTGAGTATTAGATCCATTTTTTTAAAAAAATAAAAAATTATATGACTATAATAATGCCAATAACGGATTATTTTTAAATTATATTTTAATATTTTTATTGTTTATTTGGAAGAATGAATACAGTATTGAAGAATTCAAAAAAAAAATGCATGTAAAAATGTGAATATAAAAAATTATAATAATTGAAACACTTGTCATGTGCTAAATCTATATCTCCATCTGTTATTCTTAAGATTTCAATCCTATTTTAAACATATGGGATTTACTCAAATGAATGCGTAAAAGTAGTGATATAGTACTTTTAAAAAGTATAGTTTGTCTAGAAATCAATATCCTATATGTTCAAATTTTAATGCCACAAAAAATCACCTGTATAAAGATGAATTTAAATAATACAATTTTACTTTAGCTAGGCACAAATAATTATATTTTAAGCACAGTAGGATGCTAATTTTGGAAAGGGTTAGATATTTTAAATAATATATAAAAATTTCCATAAATTTTTGCTAGATATTTTATATTAATAAAGGTTTTAAAAAAAATGATCTTTCATGATTATTGAATTCAAATAAACTAAAAATAGCTTTAAATGTAAAAGGTACAGCTATTTTACCTTAGTGCAAGAAAACGTTTGTCAATTTGCACATAATTAAATAAGCTTTCTTCAATTTGTAAGGACTATAATGCTAAACAATAATAGTACCATTTTTTTAAATAATGTAAAACCAAAACATTTATAATCTAATAGAAACTGATGAATATTATGAAAATATTGTAGATTTGATAATCTAATAGGAACTGATAAATATTATAAAAAAATTTAAAATTTGATAATATATTTAAATTTATATAAATAAATTATTGTAAAAAATTTTATATACTAATAAAAAAAATTATTTATTATGACTATCAGTTTTAATTTAAATATAGAAAATATATAGGGCTAGATATTCCATATTTATATTAAAATGCAAACATTAAAACTCATGTGTTAGCAAAATTTCTTATATTTTATTATTGTAATTGATTCCATTTAATATATATCTTATTGAATGTTGTTTTAATTCTTAAGTGTGTTTAAAGATAATAAGATGTAATATACTTTATTTAATGTTCTACATATGTTCTCACATTTGTAAAAATAGGATAGGAGCTCACTTATAAGGCAGGGGACCGCTACCTTATGACCGGTAATGCTTTGTAAAACCTACCAAGTTCTAGATGGCAATCATCCTCAAATCTAAGCAGAAAAGATTAAGCAGAAAAGATTTATATTAAATTTTTTCTAAGATGTGCAACATTTTATTAATTATACTATTTAGAAAACTACCATGGATTAGACTATATCGTTTCACCTATGCACCAGTGCTAAAATAAAATTCAACATCTAACCCATGTTAGTTTTGCCCAATTCTGTCGATTTTGTTGCATTTTCTTAATATTATGAATAGAATCATCGATGACACTGTTATATAATTTAAATTCTTCGATTTGAAACAAAGTGTAAATGACTCATTTTGGTTATGAATAAACCCATAGTTACAAAATTTAAGTTTATTATCAAGAATTGAAATTGGCATTATTGTATCCTTTATCAAACGTATTAATATATTTGGCTTTATTATAGCCGTAATTTTACATATTCTTTAAAATGAATGTTTATAATTATTATTATTATCATTTCTATTTTTATTATTATTATTATCTTAACCTGAATATTTTTATTTGCCATTCCTTCTGCCCGTTCAGAAACGATTGCCAGATCAAGATTAAATTGGAAAGTCAATATATTATTATTTATATCAACACCATCGGGACATAGAGCTCTAAAATATTTTTCCAATCCTGGTATTTCCTTGCCAATCATAAATTACGTAAACGCTCGTCAATATCATTAAGATATTGGGAACACTTGTCAATTATTCTAATTTATTCTGCAATTGAATTATAGTTTCTGTTAGATCTTAAAGTCTAACAAAGTCAAATCTAGACGCAAAAGTTGTCGAAGTCGGTTTAAATATTTTAAGACATATTCACTTTATCTCCTTAAAGGCTGGTGTTTCAATTGAGTCAAGGTAGCAGCAATGATCGTCGAACTGATTAGATCGTTGTTAAATGCCCAATTTGGGTTGATTTTAAAAAACGATTGATTAAAATTTTAGCCAAAATAATAGTGTGTAAGCCTCAAAATTTAGCAAGTAGGAGCAAAATCACCAGGCTTACACATTATTATTATGGTTATAATCTTAATCTAGCTCTAGAATTAAATTTTAAAAGTTTAAAATTAAGGAAATTTAATGTCATCAGATATTTCCCAATTTTTTTTGTTATGTTACATAATAGAATTTATGTGCTATAGAAAACATATTTTAAATTCTTTTAACTCAAGATAATAATATGTGAAAAATGAAAACAATTTCATAAAATGAGTGTTGAATACATTTTCTAAAACATTTCACTACGCCCATATAATAGAGGATTCCTTGTAATTTTTCTTAAAAAATTCCCAAATAAAATTAACATTCTTTTTATGCTAGATATATATACTACCTTAAAAATAAAATGATTTACTCCTTGAAAAAATAAACATTCTGAAAAAAAAATAAAAGAAAATAAGCTAATACTTTTGTATTAAACTAGAAATTAAACATAAGGTGAATCAAATATGATATTGTTTATATTTTAATAAATAAAAGAAAATCATATAAACAGTATGTAATTATAACTTTGATAAATAGGCGCCATTAAAATAAAGTAGAAAAATGCACAATATTTATGATAAATGAATTGAAAATTAATTATTTTGTTATTTTTTTCAAATAATATTGAACCTCATTCTTTAAAAATAATAATTTTATGTCTAATCATTGTATATGATTTGCAGTAAATTTATTAAAAACTTCATTTCGCTAAAGAATTTTGTAATGAAGACATTGATTATCGAAAAAGGAAAATCAACACCAATGATTATTTTTTTATCGATAAATATAGTAAAACAAACATTTAATCAAAATAAAAGTTTTGGAAAATTTAAATTATGCTTATATAAACAGTTATATTTTTTCACAAGCTGGAAATCAAATTAAATGTGTTTCATGACGATTAATTTAAAAGTAGATTATGAATGAAATGCCTAAACTTTGATAACTACCGCATGATTAAAATATTTTATTTTCTAAAATATTCTGTACATTCCTCCTTTAAAAGAAATAACTGCAAGTGTACAGTATGGATTTTTATTAAAAAAAATAACAACTTATTGTCCAATATTAAATTTTTTATATTAAATATCAAATAATAATTATTTGCATTATAATATCCATAATAAAAGTTGTAATAAATTAATAAAATATTATTTATAGATATTATATATAAAATTAGAATAGAATATTCGAAAATTAAAAAATAAAAATTTGATGTTTGAAATAAATTGAAATATAAATTAGTAGTCGTATTGTTTATAAATAGTAGTTGGTATTACTACAAATGGCGACGATAAATGGAGAAAATAATTCCTTAAATGGAGATAATAATTCCTTAAATGGAGATAATAATTCCTTAAATGGAGAAAATATAAATGGTAATTTAAAAAAAAATAGCGGATTTATCTACGATTAAATTTGATAAATTCGAGTTCGTTACTTCAACCCATAGATACTTTACTCAATGGGAGCCAGTTTTCGGTTAAAAAACGTAAGCCCACCTGAATGTCAATATAAAGATATATTTTTAACATTTTTTGGCAATGAGAATATTGAGTTGGTGGACCGTTTTTGTTATCCTGATTCGATCGAAACTTTATCTTTTAAGGAAATTAAATCAATATGTTTTAAACAATTTAAACCGACGTCAACAGCTTTTGCTTCTAGATTTGATTTCGTTAGATTACGGAGAACAACTGAAGCCATAACTGAATTTGCAGATAAAATTAGAACAATTGGCAAGCGTTGTCATTATCTTATGATATTGACGAGCGTTTACGTGATCAGTTTATGGTTGGCATGGAAATACCGGGATTGGAAAGAGATCTTATCCGAAGGTCTTGATCGAGATAATAATGTACTGACTTTTCAATTTATTCTTGATCTGGCATTAGTTTCTGAGTGAGCAGATAAAGAAATGGCAAATAAAAATATGCCTGTTGTTAATAAGATAAATGATAATAACAAAATAAATGATAATGATAATAATTATAAACATCCAATTAAAACGACGACTACATTTGATAAAAGCTATGATAAAGTCAAGTATAATAATACATTTGATAAAGAGAATAATAAATACATATATAATAATGATAAAGATAAAGATTATAATAAACTTATATGTTATAAATGTGGTTTTATTCATAACCGAGAAGTGAGATGTCCAGCTACAAATGCGGCATGTAATAAATGTAAAAAAATCGGTCATTTTACAGTTTGCTGTAAATCAAAGATTTTAAATTATATACGAGTGTCATCAAGTGATTCTATTCATAATATTTGGAAGATTCAACAAAATCGAGAGAATCGAGCAAAAACTAACTGCAGAGATAAATGGGTTAGATGTTTAATTTGATTTTGACACTGGTGCACAAGCGTCATTGATAGGAATTGATATATGGACAAGTATTGGGCGACCAAAAATTAGGCCAACCAGTCCATTGACTGCATATGGTGATCATCCGTTAGACGTTAAGGGCGAGACCCAAGTCAATGTTAGGATTGGATCATAGACAAGGACCCTATCAGTGGTAATAATGAATACAACTGCGGTGCCTCTTTTCGGATTACCATGGATTATAGCATTCAATTTAGAAATACCTCGTCAGGTTATGATTAAAAAGTACGCAATTTGGTCAACAGTATTGAAAAAGAAAAATGTTGCATAACACTAGATTCTAGAATTCAAGATTTGATTAATAAACACCAAGAAATTTCGGAAGAGAATCAAGATTCTAAACATGCTTTGGATATTCGAAGTATTAATTTGGATGATATGCAATTGTCAGAAAATATTCTACGAAAAGAGTCAAAGCAAGATTTAATATTAAAAAAAGTAGCAATACATATTCAGCAAAGTTGGCGAAACTTTGATCGTCATAAAAATAAAGAAATAGTTAATTTTTATAATCGACGGGAAGAGCTTTCTGTCAATCGTGATATTATAGATTGGAATGGGAGATTGGTTATTCCTAATAAATTAAGAAATGCAGTGTTAGGAATGTTCACCGGGGACATCCTGGGGAAAATATAATGAAATCTATTTTTAGATTGTATTATTGGTGGCATATGTTCTGGATGCCAGAAAAATAGACCATGGTTAGAAGTTGATCTAATGCAGAATACCTCTGCTGATGCTATGATAAAACGACTAAATAAATGGTTTGCTAGGCTTGGATAACCCAAGTACATTGTGTCAGACAAAGGACCACATTTCTTTTCTAGAGAACGTAGGTATTGTGATTTAAATAACATACGTCATATACTTTCGGCACCCTATCATCCAAAAACTAATGGATTAGCTGAACGTACAGTACGAACTTTGAAAGGTCGGTATTATATTATGTGACGAGAGATTCAATTCGCGATCCCGAAGAAGCTATGACACAGGTTTTAACAACCTACCGATTGGGAGAGCATAGTTCCACAGGGAGATTTCCTGCTAAAATTATGTTTTGGAGGCAATTGAAAACAAGTCTGGATTGGATCCGACCAAATGCCGAACACGAAATAGTAAGGGCCAATGATAGACAAAGCCTTCATCATGATTTACATTCAAAGGAAAGAGAATTTAAAATCTCACAACCTATATGGTTAAATAATGAAAATACCAATGGTTGGAGAGAGGGAGTAATTAAAGAAAGAATAGGACTTTATTCTTATATTGTTGAATCTTCCGGGAAAACTTACGAAAGCATGCAGATCAGTTAAGAAATCGTTTAGTTATCCCAAATCATGAAAGTTCTCTGGAAGTTACAGAAATGGTTGTGCCAATGAATGAAGCAAATACAAACACAAATACCACATTACGTTGTTCGTCAAGAAACCGTAAACCTACATGGAGGTTTATTGAAGAAATCTAACTTTAAAATGATTAAAGGAAATGTAATAAAATATTATTTATAGATATTATATATAAAAATGGAATAGAATATTCAAAAATTAAAAAATAAAAATTTGATGTTTGAAATAAATTGAAATTAGTAGTCGTATTGTTTATAAATAGTGTTGGTATTACTACAAAAGTATTAATTTTTAGAGCTCTCCTTCATCAATTAATACAAACCTTCTTACTTGTGGGGAAAATAAAAAAATTAATAAATATTCAAAATTAAATAATTTTATTTATTAGCCAATAGTCATTTCAAGTTCAACTAATGGCAATTTTTTACAGTCTACATATATTTAAAAATTATCATGAAGATTTTTTAGAATAACAAACGAATATCGCGAATCCTTATTTCTTAAACAAAAACTTCAATTAGAAATTTTTAAACACAATTATACTTGTTTTTTAGATACATTTTCTTTATTAAATTAAGTTCTTTTTAGAGCCTTCGATACTTTTAATATATATTTTTATTTATGGCATAATTTCATAGATTTTTATTTAGTAATTTTATATATTTTTATATAGTTGTTTTAATATTTTAGTGTTTTATCATTTTTTAAAAAAATTATACTAATATCAATCAATATTATCAAAATAATACTTTTAAATTTTTAGAGCAATATATTTTGCCCTATTTTAGTTAAAAATTTAATTATCCTACCCTTAAAGTCACTTACCCCCTACCACTCTCAAAAAATTAAAGATTGTGGTGTGGGGGGATATTTATTAGCTAAAAAAAAATATTTTTGAAACATTTAATTATTTTTTGACCCACCTATGAATCGTATGTAATTTATAATAAAATAATATCTGGCTTATTATAATACTCGATTGTCATTCATAAAATTATTTTTATATTTAATATCTGCCTAATATTTACAATTTTTCCCCCAAAGTAGACTTGTTTTCCGTATTAAAGATTTAACACATGTCGCAGTTTAAGGTTGTTATCATCATAATAGGCTAATTAATATATGTATCTTAGAATTTACAACATAAAAAAAAGAAGAAAACACGTAACTTAAGAGGGCATGTAAGTCATGGTCATGGTAGAATAGGTAAAGTTTAAATTTCTTTATGTTTATTATAAAAAAATATATAGGAAAACATAGAAAACACCCTGGCGGAAGAGGAAATGCAGGAGGAATGCATCATCATAGAATAAACTTTGATAAATAGTATAATATGTGATATATTCTTTAATTTAAATCAAATTCTAGTCATCCTGGTTATTTTGGAAAAGTTGGAATGAGGCATTTTCATAAAATTAAAAATAGATATTATTGTCCTACAATCAATTTAGATAAAATATGGTCATTAGTATCTGAGCAAACTAGAGTTAACTATGAAAAGGTGACAGACAAAGCTCCAGTTATAGATTGTGTTAAATCAGTATAAAAATTAACAATAAACTTAAATATATATAAATTTTAGGGTTATTTCAAAGTACTCGGAAAAGGAAGACTCCCTAAACAGCCAGTAATTGTTAAAGCTAAATATTTCAGCCATAAAGCTGAAAATAAAATTAAAGAAGTTGGTGGATGTTGTATTCTAATTGCTTAATTCCATTTAAATTTTATATTTATACTCTTATTATACACCATTTTATTTAAAATAACAAATAAAATGTATTTCATCAATTTATAGAATTAAGTTAAAACGAACTTATGTATAAGCATATTACATATTCATCATTATTTTTAATACAATCCTAAAAAATTTAATGAATGAAAAATTTATATTGTTGCATATATGCACTAATTTCAGTTTATTAGAATTGATTTCATAAAATTGACTACTAATTTTCACAATAAAGATATACATTAATATTTTTTTAAAGCAATTAAAATTAGGGCTATACTTATATTTTTGCCAATAATAATATGTTTATAAATGTGCATATCTCATAATTGCCTCAAAATAAGTAATAAAAAAATCAGCATTGACAGATTAAATGAGTATTTTATTGGACCTTTTTTAAAAAAATTTTACCAATTTGATCCAGAACAAATTCCAGATTGGTCAATTCTTATGCCTCCTTAAAATAAAATTATTATATTGATATTCCAAGATGTTTATGCATTAAATTAGCTGCCAATTTTAAGATATACACATTTACTGCACAGCCTACTGATTATCAACTTTTTAAAATGTACTTCCTAATTTATAAAATAATGTGCCCTCTTCTTTTTTAATGTAATTTGGTGTATAGCATTATCACACCTATCCAAGTGCTACAGAAACTGTGCCAATATTACAATACCTGGTTAAAAATTGTAAATCATGCATAAGATAGAAGCCAAGGATAGTATAAAATTGGATTTCAAATATTGAGATATTCTATGTCTCATTAAAAATTTACTATCTTGCGCCAAATATACATTTATAACCAGGGCTGTGTATGCACTATCTAAAAATAGGGCTTATATTCTGGTTCTATGAAATATCTGAACCTGGTTCATGGTCCTTAAAATTGAGACTTATAAAATTTAAAATAGCAGAAACATCATTTTTTATAAACTTGATTTTGGGTCATCCATGACAAATCAACCACGATTTGGCCGACCCCCTTCGATTTTTTAAAATTTGGTAAGCAAAGAAAGGTCAATATAACTAAGAAATAGCCAAAATTTTAGCCTCCTAACATATATTTTTGAAGATATTAGGGTTCAAAGTGGCAAAAATGACGTATTTTTACCATTATCTGCCTTCATCCAATTAAGCATATCTTAAAAACTACATAATTGTAAATAACAAAGTTAATATCAAAATTACATACAAAGATTCTAATTTTAGATAAATAATTTTTTTTATTTTTTTTCCTATTTCCGGTTATTTTATTTAATATATAAGGACTAAAAACGATTTTTCGGAAATAATACGACCTTCAATTTTTTTTAAAAATTTAGTAGACATTATTAAACTCTTCCTTTATATTTATAAAAAAAAATTAATCTGGGACGCTGCCATCTTCATTCTCAAAACCGATAAAAATGTTTAGAAAAGTGTATAAATATTTTCCCGAAAGGGGGCGTCTTTGTATAAAATTATATATTAATCAGTTTTTATGGTTTTTTTTGAACTATTAGATATAATTTAAAGGATTATTCATCTTGTAAGTGAAAATAACAATAATTCAATTATAGAAATTGTCTATCGATAAAAGAAATTCAATTTATTACTTTATAATTTATTATAAAAATTTTTTCCCATATAACATATATTTAATAAATATTAATAAAATTTGTTCAATTAAGTTTCGAGTTTGAATATATGAATTAGAATCTTGTGTATTTTATATATGGCGCCCTAAATATTAAAAAAATTGATATACTTTAAATTTAAACTCACTTTCAAAGGATTCTAATTTTTTGGTAAAGCATTTACTTTCTTGTGACGAAAATGTATAACTGCGGCCAGTAGCATTTAACAGTGAAACTAATGTTAAGATATGATATTTGGGGAAGTAAAGAGTGTCGTCTATACTTGGAAATGTAAAGGAATTAGAAGGTCGGGATATAAAAACTTTATATATATTTCTTCCTGCTTTTGATTTTTCACTAAAACAAAGCTAACCACCAATTAGAATAGTAAGGATGCGTTAGGTATCTTGATATTTCTTCAATAATAATACTTTCATCATTAAATAATAACTACTCTAAAGTACTTTCTATTGAATTGGAATACATTTAATTTTAAATTGATGTAGATCTGTTGGAATCAAGGTGTGTATTTTGTGTGTTCCAGATATAGATCTAGTTTTTGAAAATCTTTCCCTGAGTAATAGATCTTCGTAATCATAAATTATTTTGGTCATCTTCAAAATATATGACATTAATATTTTCTTTAGCTAACTCATACAATTCATATGATGTGTACTTTGAGTAAGGCCTTGTAAAATAGCTCTAGCGGCTAATCTTTTAACAGTGCCACCAATCCCATCACAAACACTTTTCCCGTGTGCTGTAGCAGAAAAATGCCATTTCGCCTGTACCCCGAAATCCATCTCATGATGGCAAATATTAATAAAATTTTTACGATTTTTATACTGTGCAGCGGATCCACCGGAAAATAAAAAATTTTATTTGGCCTACAAATTTTATTAATTAAAAAATTTACCAATGTTTTTTTGAAATTATAGCTATTGTATTGTGTTGCAAAGATTCGGATATCATTACATAATTTAGGCAACAAATATTGGCAAAATTATCTTTATAATATATAAGAAAAGGGTGAACAGTGGATTGAGCCCTATTCCAATGATAATTTTGTACTTCATCCTGAAGTATAAAGCTATAGTTTTCTTAAAAATCACAAAATTAAATATTGGTCTTCGTCTAAGCTCAATTTTAGATTGTTTTGATACAACGATTGTTGCGTTAAAATAAAAAAATGGAGTAATAAAGATTCCATTTTTTCAAAAAAGCATTGATAAATTCACCTACTGGTTTGGTTATTGTTTCAAGAGTGGTTCAATCTACGGATAGCCATTGTTTGTATGTTATAAATTCGATATCCTTAGAACGAAACAATATTTCTATTTGATCACGTAAATGTGTTGACCCTGGACAAACATTTGCCCATATAACTGGATGGTTGAGGCGAATTACAAATTATTAAGTGTAAAATATGTTTGTATGTTTTAAAGGGTAACATATCATTGGTTAAATTTGATCCAATGATCAGTAATTTAAAATTTTGTTAGTAGCTGCAATCACATACATGTGTACCACTACCTCCAACGAGTATACAATTTTTGGGCGAATGCTTGCGAATTTCGAAAAACCAATTTTATCAGGCCTCATTTCTTTAAAAAATATATAAAATTTTTTCAAATTATCTAAAATTAATCTCTTATGTATGGTATTCTTTTTTCCGTCTTTGGTCAAAATCGAAACGCAATCTTTCTTGCCTGGCATGATTCTGCTTATTTCGTCCATACAATAAAATTCTTGTACAATTTTAACTGTATATTCGTCTATAGTTTTTCCAGGCTTGGGGTTAGGTGTTGATAAATCAAAATACCAAGAAATTAATTAAAAAATGAATTAATATAGTGAGCATGTGTTATTGAATGATTAAAACCCTTTCGCGCCCAGAATATTTCCCATGAACAAAAAATACATGTACTTTGATATAATAAAATAATGATTGACAGGTTACTGACAAAATACGAAATAATAAATATTGTTTTATAAATTAATATCTCTAAGTACCAACCATTAGTTTCTTTAAATATAAAAATTAATATATTAAAAATTTTGATGACAAATGAACTCGCTGGGCGCGAAAGGGTTAATCAATTTTAAAATTTTTATTTATTTTATTGATTTAAACACTTTTTATGGTTATTCTAATTTAGTAAGGCTATGCCGATTTTAGAAAATCCGATCCAATATTTATATTGTTTTGGGTTATTTTATGATAATACTTTTATTTTGTATATAATTTCATAATAATAATAAATTAATATTTGTAATATTTTAAAAATATAAAATTATTTTAAAAAATTGAGTATAGAAAATTTTGATATTATTTTTGGTCTATGAAAAGCACAAGATTCTGATTCATATATTCAAGAACTATAAACTTGGTTGAATAATATTCATTAAATATATGTTATATGGGCAAATAATTTTATAATAAAGTAATAAATTAAATTTCTTTTATCGATAGACAATTTCTATAATTGAATTATTGTTATTTTCACTTACAAGAGAAATACTCCTTTAAATTATATCAAATAGTCCAAGAAAAACCATTAAAAACTGATTAATATATAATTTTATACAAAGACGCCCCCTTTCGGGAAAATATTTATACACTTTTCGAAACATTTTTATCGATTTTGAGAATGAAGATGGCAGCGTCCCAGACTAATTTTTTTTATAAATATAAAGTAAGAGTTTAATAATGTCTACTAAATTTTTTAAAAAAATTGAAGGTCGTATTATTTCCAAAAAATCGTTTTAGTCCTTATATATTAAATAAAATGGCCGGAAATTGGGAAAAAAAAATAAAATTTTTTTTTTATCTAAAAGTAGAATCTTTGTACGTAATTTTAATATTAAATTCGTTATTTACAATTATGTAGTTTTTAAGATATGCTTAATTGAATGAATGCAGATAATGGAAAAAATACGTCATTTTTGCTACTTTAAACCCTAATATTTTCAAAAATATAAATGTTAGGAGGCTAAAATTTTGGCTATTTCTTAGTTACATTGACCTTTCTTTGCTTACCAAAATATAAAAAAATCGAAAGGGGTCGGCCGAAAATTTCATTTTTTTTGCTCATTTGACGTGGAATGACCCTTTTACCATATTAAAACCCTTTTATAAAAATAATTTATCATTATTATTAGAATATAACAATTATGATATCTTCCAAGATTGAGATGTTAAAATTAAAATATAGATTTTTTATGCCTAATTTTGATGTTCATTGCAGCTTGCATTTAATATAACTATTTTACCTTGTGATTATGTTCTTTTCTTTGGCCTTACTTTTGATAATTCATCAAGCTAAAATAAATATTCCTAAAATATATGTTATATTATATAGTAAATATTATTTAAAAAAAGTTACAAAATATGCTGGTCAAATTTCTATATAAAATGGAGTACACTAAAATATAATAAAGAGGATTCCACGCTAAAATAAAAAAAATTATATGCTTTAATT